AAAATGAAATTCTGGCTTCAAACTCATTAGGAGTTTGACAATTTTTTTTTGAGTAAAATCAATTTTATTTGAAGCAAAAAAAAACAGTTTGTGTCCAGAAAACCCTTTTTTTTGAATGAAAATCTCTACTCGATAATAAAAAACTACTTAGATATTTATCTGAAAGTTTTTAAGTTTAAGCGTAATGAAAACAATATTTGATAAAATGTAAAAGTATATTTGAAGTAAATTTTGCATGCACGTGGCTTAAAAGTACAAATTGTTTGAATCAAACGTTTTATTTTAAAGAGGTTTCATTGAAACTTCTGGTATGTTTGATTTAATATATTTCCATGAAACAAAAAAAGTTTTTTGTCAACCGACGACAGTTTCTTGAGACGAGAATCTGGTTTGGTTGTAGCAATAGTTTCATCCAATCACGGAAAAATCCAAAAATACTTGACAAGAATTTAAATGTAATTGTTATAATATCAAGCCATACTTCTATGAAAGATTTTGTATTATTGATTTAATTGAAAAAGTTTTTTATAAGGAAAATTTCATTTTTACGGCATTTGAATCAAAATAATACCATTCACAATTATTTGAACCTAATTTTTGCTCTATTTCACTTAATGTGATAGACAATTTTAATATAATAAGTTATCATTTTTTCAAACATATAATTTTTTAATTCATTTCTTAAAAAATTCACATTAATATTTATTATAGTAAATATTAATTGAAGATTATATATTTATTTTTTAATAAACAAACATTGAACTATTATATAGTGTGTGACTGCAAGACGTTGTTCAAATTCTTAACTTAATTTAAACAAGAATAAAAATATTTATTTTGGAAATTTCCTAAACAAATTTCGAAAGAGTAATAAAAAATAAGTGTATTTCTCTAAAGAGAAACGATTCATTGAAATCCTTCATAGTATATGAAAGCAGCACTTTATGTTTACTTAAGTATGGTTTGTAAAAATAAATTCTAGTAAATAATTTTATTTAAAATTCTTATGAAAAATTGTATCTAAAATAATGATCAATAACGGTTAGTTTAAATATCATACACCTATACATGCAGCTATCGCCATATAAGAAATAAGTAAGTTGTACATGTATAGTTGTATGGGTGTACATGAGTGAGCTAAATATTTTTATTGCCGCGTTGTGTTTTGTTTAGGTAAAGTGCCGGTATGATAAACTTATAGGACGCTAGAGATGCGTTAGTCATTTTCGTTGGTAATTTGGTCAGATATAGTTCAGTTGTTTCATCATACACTAGTGATTTGTGGTGCTAAAAAAGGTACGTTTATTCTTATTAAATTCTTAAATGTATAAATGATTCTGTATGTTTTTTTAAACATTTGAAAGTGGTGGAAATTTTGAAAAAGAAATATTTTGGTTGGTTATAGTGAAAAGTATTTTATTATACGAAAAGAATTTGAAAAAATAAGTGTTCTACATGGCGGATGAGGAAACAAAGAAGTGTTTGAATGATTGGGGATTCAGTGATTTAGTGGATCTATTTTCAGGTTCATTATTAATATATTTAACTATTTCATCTGTCTTGAATTTATCGATATTCTGTACATAAAGTATCATTGAATTTTCAATTATTACTTCTGATTATATAACAAAACTGTCATTTTCTTTTTTTTTATATTTTATGCGATCTTCTTTTACATTTCCAATCGGCAGAACAAGAAATCACTTATGACTGCTTAAAATCGCTATCCACGGATTTAATCAAGGAATTGGTTCCTGTTGTTGGCAAAAGAATAAAATTTATTGAACAATGGAAAATAGCATTTGGAACTACGCAACGCGTCATTCAGTCTGAAAACGTCATTGTAAGTCACTCAGTTTCGGATACTCATCGTAATATTATAATTAAATAATTCATATTTTAATAAAATATATACTTTTATTATTAATAAAAAGGATGACTCAACACCATTGAGTGAATCTACCGAAACAGCTCTATGTTACACAAACCGACCTAAAAACAACTTTGTAAGTTATTTATCAATTTACATCTTAAATTTACGTTGTAAATATGTATATAATTTTTATATAATATTAAATTTTGAAGAAAAAAAGAACATATACGGGAGAAAGCGAGTATAGAAAGCGTTTGAAAAAATTAGAAGGAGATTATTTAGATGATTTGTTAAGTAAAAGAAGTAACTTAGCAGATCCTTTGTTAGCTGATTATAAGAGAAACAATAGACTGTCCGACGTATCATCTTTTTTGCTGTGCGATTGTATTGCTGATGATTTAGTCGTTGATAAATATAGGTAAGAATTGTTTTTTATATATTTTAAGACTATTATATGTGTCTTCTTTTTGATTAATTCAATTTATCAATTACAAAAATTTATGGTACAAATTAACTAATATTTGAATAAAGTACAAATAATTTCTATTTTCAGTAAGTTTGTGACGCAAGATTATATCGATTTAACAAACCAAATTAAAAAATGGTTCCCAACTGAGGATTCAACGACGTATTTTCGACCAGGAATTCCTAAAAGTCTTTCCAAAAACAAAAAATCTAAGAAACCTGGTGGCAGATTGTATGATAAAATTAAAAATCGCAAATCTTTATTTGCCCAATTAACAGGTACAGTTAGACGCAAAGACCAATCAGAAAATACAGATGAAGATGAAATTGAACCACTAGGTAAACTTTTTTTACTAACATGTTTCACACGCACATATGTATGTATATATATGTATATACATACTAAATGTTAGATGGAATAAAACATTACTATTGTTTCAGCTGAAGACGTAGCTGAAAGTTTGGTATGGTTGGATCATAATCGTGATTTTACACTAATTGATCATCATTGGAAGATAACAGCTAAAGCTCGTAATGATATATTAATGAAATCAAATGGAAATGTCTTCGACTATCTAAAAAAGTATCCAGTGCTAAAAGATCCAAACCATGGTTTTCGTTTAGTAAATATTGATTTTTGTGAGCTGTATACAACCTCTGAATCAAAATTCTATGAGCATTGGGAATGTTTCGTCACAAAAGTGTTTGATCAAACTATTAGAAAGAAAAAAAGTTATACAGACGACGTTCAAGAGCTGTTAAATATAATTGATGATGAAAATACTAATTTGTGTAAGTGAAAATAACTATTTTATTATCTTCCCTTATGTCTACGATGATTTATTGAAATGTTACATAACAGATGCCAAACGTTTTGCTGAAATATTATTATTACCTTTTGCCGTTCCTCCACGAGCTGGTGTATCTAAAGTTGATAAAGAGTATTGGAAACCAACAATATTAGAGAGCCAACAAGGATTTGCAGTGCATGCTAAAGTAAGTTTAACAATATATATTAAAAATTATCAAGGAATTCAATATTCAAGTAGTATTCTATGAATATTGTTATTTTACAGTCTTACAGAATTTTTAAGTAAATTAAAAATTATTTTTTTTTCCATTCATATGGAGTTACAATGTTGTATTTAAAATGTTTAAAAATATTATATTTTTAAATATTAAATGATATTTCGTACAATTCAATATATAACAATTAGACTTTTAATTATCCAAGTTACTTGTCTTATACACATTGTAAATAATATTTTTATTCTTTTGAAGGACGTTGGAGATATTGAAAAAATTCATGAAGATAAAGTAACACAGATGCGCAAAAAAAAAACAACTGTCCAGCCATATATACTCGGAATAGGAAATACTTTAAAAGATGTGAATAGTTTCATGGTGATACTTGATAAACCTCTTTATCGTTTTGATTCACCTTTAACAGCACTTTTAATTTGTTTCAAAATATTTTATGTCTGGAATGTTGGATTTCCGTTACAAAGCAAACAAATTTGGACGTTGTTACAGCACGGTATTTTGAAATTTACAACTGATACTGATGAAAATATAACTCATGTCAGTAAGCTTCTTGAGCTTATTAAAAATTAATTTAATTACTTCTCGTTGTATTAGAATGAAAAATTGAGTTTAGAAATGGGTATTATATGTCCATATTGCGATTGTCATTTTAAAATAATGAATGACCTATTTGTTCACTGTAAATTAAAACACAGTTTATATTTTAATCGATCGGTTAAATGTAAACAACCATTCTGTTTACGATTACATTGTGATTATTATTCTTTAAAGAAACATATTCGTTTAAAACATAAAATTCCTGTAGAGGATAATAATAATGATAATTTTAGTAATTTTAAAGATTCAGTAGCTTGTGGCAATGATAATAATATATATACTATACCATTATCTCCAATAATACAACCTTCATCAAATTCTACTACTCAAAATATATCTCAGAAGATCACACTTAATGATGTAAAAAATTCAGTTCATAGTGCAGCGATTAGTTTTCTTTCTAAATTACATGCGAATCCCAATATATCAAGATCTGCAATACAAGGTATAGTTAATAACACATCCGAATTATTTGAATCGTGTGGTGTTCATTTAGTTAGAGAAGTCCTCCAAAATAAAAACGTTTATGATTCTGAAGTAGATGAAATCCTTACTATTATGACTAATCCTTTGAAAAATTTACAAACTGAACATCAAAGAAAGGAATTTTTTTCAAGTACTGGATGTTTCATTAAACCACAACGTTTTACAATCGATACTGTTCTTAGGCAAAAAATTCAAGGAGAAAAAAATATTCATGTTTTAAGTAATGCTACGGGAGAATTTATTTCAATGCGTCAAGTATTAAAAAAATTTCTGGAGCTGCCAAATGTTTACAAATTTATTGATGAATATATGTGTAAAAAAGAAAGCGAAAGTTTGGGTGAACTTGATAGTTTTTTAAAAGGTACCCTTTGGCGGGAACTGAAATTGAAATTTGTAAATAAAAAGGTCTTCCCTTTAACTATTTACTTCGACGAACTAGAAATTAACAACCCTTTAGGTTCTCATATTTCAGTAGATAAAATTGGTGTAATCTACTATAAAATAACTTCTTTACCCCCAGAATATTCATCAAAAATTGAAAATATATTTTTAGCTCTGATACATCGAACTATGCATCGAGAAGATTCATTTGGAAATTCGAACATTAATGAAATATTTAAAAATTTAATTAACGAACTGAAATATTTAGAAAGTGAGGGCCTTGAAATTCTAACGGAAAATGGTACAGTTCAAGTTTTATTTTACATTAGCTATTGTTTGTGGCGATAATTTGGGGATTCACTATTTACTAGGTTTCAATGAAAGTTTTAACTCTACTTATTATTGCAGATTTTGTCGAGAACCAAAGAATATTATGCAAAAACAAACAGTAGAAAATACGAAAGTTCTTCGAACAGTAAAAAACTATAATGATGATTTAAAAGATCTAACGTGTGGTATTAAAAAATCATGCTTATTTCATGAGCTACCAAATTTCCATTTAACTAAAAATCTGTATGCTGATATTATGCATGACTTTTTAGAAGGTGTATTGAGATACGAAATTCCTACAATTATCAATAGTTTAATTAGTGAAAAAAATGTATCATTATCATTATCATACTTGAATAATCGGATGCAAAATTTTAATTACGGACGGAATGTTTCAAATAAAAACATTCCACTATTCACAGAAAATAATTTAAAGAATGGTCTTTACATTTGCAGTGCTTCTGAAATGTTAACATTATTGAATTTACTCAGTTTCATGATTGGTCATCTTATTCCTTGTGAAAATGAACCATGGCAGTTATTTTTAAAACTTAAACAAATTGCTAGTATTTTGTTGAGTAACTCTATTGATGGTTGTATTATTGAAACATTAAATCAACTCATTACCGATCATCATGAATTATTTTTAAAATTATATAAAGACACATTACTAAAACCTAAATTACATTTTATGCTTCATTATGCTCGTATTCTTCACTTACTAGGTCCTTTATTACCATTATCTTGCATGCGATTTGAAGCAAATCATCGTGATTTTCATCATCACGCTCAAGTTATTAAAAATAGAAAAAATATCTGTTATAGTCTCGCACTTATGAATCAGTTTATTTTAAATGAAAGATTTCTTTCTCAAAAAGGTTTTGAAAAATGTGTTATTTCTATCGGTCCATCAATCGAAACTAAAATAACAGATTTAAATGAACATTATTTGGTTAATGATACAAACACCAATTTTGATTTAAGTGGTACGTTTGTTATTACTTCTTGGGCTATGGTCAATAGTATTAAGTATATGAAAAATATGATCTTAAAAACTAATAAAGTAAATAAATTTGGTAAAATTAAGTATATTTTAGTAGATGAAGATAATGTAACGTTCCTAATTTCATTGTTAGATGTTAGTTTTGAGAAACATTATCATGCTAACAGAATTATTACCACAGAAATGTGGAGTTTTTTGAGCCACCGGGATTTAATTGATCCAATCCCGAGGGATGAATATGCAATCGCAAATGGACAAAATTATATCATTTGTTGAGTTAAAAATTTTTGTAAGTTTATATGTATTCTTTAGATATAAGATTAAAAAAAGTTTTTGTTAATTGTAGTTGTAACAATTAAACCAAACTGATTAAAATATAAAGTAGATGAAAAGATAATACATTTATGAATTTTTTCATTTATACTTCATATAATCAACCTTCAATAAATTTTCAATAAAATAATATAAGCTTCTTCCAACCGAATGAAATTTTCTGAATTAAGTATAATTTCATATTTTAACAAAATTATAAATAAATTGAACTTAATAGTCCTCACACTTATATTAAATAGTAATTGTATTGTACTAAATCTGAGGTTGATTAGAGTACAATTTTAAAACATTTTTACAAAACTATTATTTTACTTTTATAGAATTACATCTTCGATTAAATTAAACTATTTTTGCTGTTGATATAACATAAAAAACAGTTCTATGAACATAAAAATAGTTTTCATGAATTGATCTGAGATGTACTGTAAAAGTAATCATCATTCTAGTCAACTGATTGTTCGTTTTATTCCAATTGTATATAATATTTTATCTAGCTCACTATTTTTTTTGCATGAATACTTAAAAACAACCTGAGATAAATCGATTTTTGTTTTATAATAATTGCGAAGATGGTTTCTGTTAATTAAGTAAATATTTCTTTCAACATTAAAATTTACTTCATTTAATAAAATTTTCAGTCCACTGAAAATACATACTTTTAATCACCTAAAAATTCAATTTAAGTGAAACTTAAGTGAAGTTATAAAGAATAAGACCTATTATTATCTCAAAAGCATTAATGGCTTCAAACTAATTTTTATTTTTGTTACATTAAATTATCTTTTCGATTGTGTCAAGAACTATAGACTTGGCTCTAACTAATCAGTCTCTTCACTCAAGAAACTTTCATTTGGAATAAACAAAATTGTCAAACGTACAGCGCAGTAGACTCAAGTAGTTCGCGCATTTGGCTGTATTCAAACGTACGGAGTACTTGAGCCAAACGAATCTGGTTTGTCATCAGGAATTATTTTTTACAGTGTAAAAAACCCCATTGTGACAATGAATTTTCTGCTTGGCCCACGGGCAAGAAGAATAGTTCTACCCCTCCCATAAAATTCAGCGTATTGAATGATGTAACTGGTCTCTCCGCAATCCCTATCAAGTATTTTCCCCTCTCCATCCTTATCAATCCTTGCGCATCCTCGCAGTCGGGAATCCAGTATACTCTTTTAGGCGCCACGTCGGCTGCCTCTCAACGACATCCCACCCATTGAGAAAGGGTCGATACTCTACGCTCATCTTCCCGCCAATGTCGTGCTTGAACATCGCTGACTTTTGTCGTCTCTCTGCTTTCACCCTTTTTCTCTTTACCTCCCACTAGTATGCGGTAAAAACTTTTCTGACAAATATCTCGGGATTTGCTATCATTCTATCGCCCGAGTTTTGTCTTTTATTTGAATGCCGAAGGAAAGAATACTGTTGGCGATTTGTGAATGACAAATAAAAAAAATGTCAATGGTTGTCAAACAAATATTCGGCATTTTTCTGTAGTTGACATGTTCTATTGAATTTTAATTTTATTTTTCAATTTAAAAAATTAATTTAATAAAAATTCCTTATAGAGATGCATATTTTTTGCTCATCTCAACCGATACGTGTTTTAATTGTTCGTAATAATTTTTTACAGGAATTCGATAATTAAATTGAAATCCTTTAATCGATTACTCTGTTCGTCAAACATACAGGAAGATAGAAGGTGTGTATTCATGATACAGAAAAATAAGAGTTTTGAAAATTTTTTACTGCTTAAAAAGAATAAAAAAACTTACCGAAAGAATAAAGAGATGCATTTTGAATGTTAAAATCTCCGTTGTTTTTTAATCCTGGTGTCGGATGTCAGATTTATCATTTCTGTAACGAAAAAAAAAAAAAATAATTATTAATTAAACAATTTTTAATTGAGTCAGATGAAATTTAGCAACAAAAAATTTATTATTTTCAAGTCATAAAAAGGGTGGTAAAGATAATAGTATTTAGTTACTCATGTCAGTAAAAATATAAACAATAAAAAAATATTAGCTGTCATCGTTAAAAGTTTTATTCTTATTTTAATGAAGAGAAGGAATGACCTTTGTTAAAAAAAATTTAACTTTACAGTGGATGTGCAGAAAGACCTTCGATCTGTTGCAACAACTAAATATTTTCATCATGTATATGAGTTGACATTAAAAAAGTTTTCACACGAATAAAAATACAAGAATATTGAGGTAACATTAATTTTAATGAGTAAATAAAATTTTATGAAACTATATATGGATCAGATGATATCGTGTGAGTGGTAAAAATAGTTCTAAATGTCAAGGGAGAAATATTGAATGTTTATCATGGCTGATAGAACAAGTAAAACTATAACAATGTTAATTATACACATTCATATAAAGTTATTTAATTAACAAACGTTGAGAATTATAACTGTCGTATAAAGTACACATATATATGTAGATGTTTATAGAGAATAATGTTTATACTGATAAATTTCCAGTTTAGTATCCTGAATGATACTCTTTCACTTGCAACTCTCAGTTGGATTAATTATATGCCCTGATTTCTCAAATTTCATCCTGTGCATACATGCAAATTATAAATTGGAACATAAACTATTATAACAAAAGTTACCTCTATTTCTAGGTTATATAGGTATCTATTTATCATGTAAAATAATGATAACTGTAAAGTCAATAGATTACATGATACTTATTCAACTGTAATTCTCTTATAATTTTTTTACAAACATTATCATGAAAAATATTTTTTCGTCATATCCGTGCGGAAAGTTCACTTTTCCATTGGAGAGGGGTTGAACTTTCCACACAGGTATGACGAAAAATCATATTCAAGCCCAGGGAAAACAATTAGACTAGCTTAAACCATGTGTTTACTACCCTCGCCTTCGGCTCGGGTTGTAATTTTACACGTGATTTAAGCTAGTTTACTTTTCCTCCCTAGGTGTGAAATGTACTATTTTAAATATTCCTCCAGTGTTAAAGCTATGTAAAGACTCTACTTAAGACTGGGCTTTACTAACCTCAAATCACCTCAAATTTTTCTCGTCAAGCTGTGCTTTTTTTATTTGTTTTTTTCACGCGAAAAATATCTAGGAATATTTAGAAAAGTGGTATTATATACACGTCGGAAAACAAAGATTGATAGTACAAGTGTAATAATGATCGTAGAATAAATAATCCTTCAGTGAAGAACTCATGACAAGTGCATCCGCCATGACACCTCGAAATTCACTGAAGGATTATTTATTCTACGATTATTATTACACTTGTACTATAAATCTTTGTTTTCCGACGTGTATATAATACCACTTTTCTAAATATTCCTAGATATTTTTCGCGTGAAAAAAACAAATAAAAAATGCACAGTTTGATGAGAAAAATTTGAGGTGATTTGAGGTTAGTAAAGCCCAGTCTTAAGTCAATTTATCCAATGGATCATTTTAGAACATGTAGTTTTATAAACTGAACGTAATAATTAAAATTATCATAAAAATTATTTTTTATCAGATATTATTAATAACCATGACATTCAGGTAGTACCAATATTGATTAGATATATCTGTTTTTAATTAGATATTGTTTAGAAAAGCATCCATAGGATTGAATTAATCTCGCTATTGTAGATTATAGATATGATATCATTGACATTGACTTTAAATTATTATTATTATATACAAATTTAATATTATTATCAATGATTAGTCCAGTATGTATTATTCTATAATTACAAGAACATCTTGGTTTAAAAACTATCATCATTTTTATTATCATATTATATTAAGAATAAGACCATAATTGTCTTGAAGTAGAAACAAGAAAATTGTCTTGGATACTTCCTTGGGTCGTACAAGTAGTTACATTCAATTAGTGAAAGAATAAAAAATGCTAGGGTTTTAATATTTTGACATAAGCATTATACTGGAAAAACAAGAATAAAATGATTCTCGATCTAAGAGTATTATTTTTCAAAATATTTATTATTCGATAAAAGAGCATACTTTTATAATTGCAATAATTTAGATTCCAATTCGTTACTAACTTCCTGCTCGAGTATTTAATCAACTAATATTTCATTTGTTTTGATAAAAAGAGCTTTCATAGGAATGATGAAGGTAATGAAATGAATCAAATGCCTTTCATTAACTCATAATTAAGTTATTTTTCCCCTCTATTGAATTATTTAGAACAATTTATTTATTCACTAATTAAAAAGGGTTTCACTCAAACTTGTTAAAGAACTGATTTTGCTTAAAATTGATCTTTTTCCACTGATAAAATAAAACTCATAATTTCTAAGGCGTCTTTTATATTATTCAAAAGCAAATTATTTTTTTGTCAGCTTTATTTCCACCACAAAAAGTGAGAAATCCTTAAAAATAATCTCTTTAATGTGTATATGTATTAAAAGATGTCTTTGAAGGCTTTCGTGGTATTAAATTGCATTCATAATTCACTTAATTTTTTTCTCTTCGTTATTTATATGAGATAAAAGTTGTTAGAACGAGATTACAAGGGTGGAGAATAAAATGCTGCTAAAACATGAGATTAAACTTTAACTCTTAAAAACGAAGAAGTATCAAAAATATTAGATTTAAAGTTTGACTTTAACTTCATCATATTTAAAGACTATGAGAGAAAAAATACGTTTAATAAACTCTCATGAGGTATTTTCAAAAATGTGATGATATACTGAAGTATCAACGTTCATTATGATAGCTTCTGTAATGAGTCGGGGGTAAAAAAGACTGAAAAAGTTTTTAGGGAAAAAATTACCCCTAAATTTAGTGTCAACTAGGAATAAATCGGAGCCGAGATGAAAATTCTTCCATTTAAGATAAAAATGACTCCATTAAAAAATAAATATTGCATTAAATTCATTTAATTATCATCTTATCTCTAACTTTTCCTCAGTTTACTCTAAATTGGGAGGTCATTTTCATCCTAGATATTTTTTAATGATATAATTGATGCAACAAAACAGAAGAAATAGTATTCTATTAATCACTGATTCATTCTTGCGCCCATTTATCCTCTAATCCTTTTCCTTTTGAAGCCTTTTAAATAAACTTTCTCAACAGACGTAAAACTGTATCCATTGGGACTAATTTCGTTTTAGTTAGAACAACGTTTGCAAGTTAACGCGCGGGCCGACTAACCCAGAACGAACTAACGATTGTAACTGTCTAATCTTGTCTGATTGTCTGTAAATTATTCTTGTCCGCATGCACTCTTGAGAAAAGATAAAAGTCCAACATTTCTACTTTGCATGATTGTTCAGATTCTTTCTCTTTCAAATACGTGTGTGACATTATCTCGACAGATAATTTACCATTTCATTAAATAATTAAGCTAAATTTTTTAATATCATATTATTGAAATATTTTGACATTTTTTCACCTCCATTTGACCCTCCTGAAATGCGTCCTATTTTTATTTATATCTAAAATAATTCAGTAATTGAATAATTTATTAGGCTTTTAGTAAAATATTATGATTAAAATAATCAAAAAGTTCTTTCATATTTATCCTTTTCATCATTATTTTTATCAACTTTGAACAAAGGATTTAATTTATACCAAAAATTATTTTAACTTTATATTAATATAATATAATATTTAATTTAGTTATAGAAACTCATATCAAAAACGAATCCAATTACAAGTATCAATTATTTTGGAATGTATTCTAAATTTAAATTTTAAATAAAATTATTTTAAATTATTATACCAAACTGACTGCTTTGTATAAATATTAATAACATTTTATTTTTATTGAATATTTTTTTTTTTTTATTTTCTTAATACAGATCATAGTAACTTAAACATAAATCCAATTTTAATTTGATTTTCATTAATAATTAAAACAACTCTAAGATACGAGTTTCACTTCTTTGATGAGAAATGGAGAAAATTAATCTGATCAGAGTAATTTAAAATTAATTTGAGTAAAAGAAGAAGTATTTTTAAGCTCAATGCATAGATTATTATGATAAATTAATAATTAATCTCATGAACCTAATTGTGATGGCAACATTGAAATGTCTAATAAAATTTTAAATCCAACCTTTTCATGACACGTTCCTTATTCATTCCAAAAAATATTTAATAATATTCAATGAAATAAATGAGTTGAATATTCAGTTGGAAAGTGAATAAATTCATTCCTCCTTTTGCCATATGGCCAGTGGTAGACTATTATAGATATATATGTATATACATAAGGATTGCTGATGAATATAACTTTCGCCTAGTTGCTGAATGAGTTTAACAGTCACGACAGTCGGTGTATCTAGAGTTATAATTAAATACAGTATGGACGTGTGCATGGGGGTTATGGGTGACAATTCAAAAAGTGTAGACTAAAATTGAGCCTTTTAGTAATTAACATCATGAAGTATAATCGTCACATTGGCATCTGTAATAGCAGAGGCTGGCGTGTCGGATTGCCGCAAGGTTGGAAGAAAAAGTGTAGAAACAAGGGCGAAAATGGAGAAATAAAAAGAGAACACGAGTAGTGGTAGTAGCTGCATACTTGTCCTCTCTCTTTTCGTCCGACCACTCGTCGATGAGTTCACTGAAGAGAAAAAGAGAGAAAGAATTGGCCATTGCAGCAAAGTTTTTTCCAATAGACCCAATTAAACTCTCGACAGAGAGGAGATATATTCATTGCAAAACGGGACGAAAGCAACGAGTACTGTTTTTTTGAGGTTTTTCTTTACTCACTAGCTCATCATGAGTCGATGAGTGAAGCTTCTACATTTTTTCCAGCCATTATCTTTCTCAAAATTTTTCCGATAAGACTATAACAGAAATATTCATTGGAAAAATACAATTAACCTACTTTTAT